CACACTACCTGCATACCTCCTGCACACTACTTGCATACCATCTACACACTACCTGCATACTTCCTGCACACTACCTGCACACCTACTACACATACCTGCACACCTCCTGCACATTACTTGCATACCATCTACACACTACCTGCATACCTCCTGCACACTACCTGCACACCTACTACACATACCTGCACACCTCCTGCACATTACTTGCATACCATCTACACATACCTGCATACCTCCTGCACACTACTTTCACACCTCCTGCACACTACCTACACACCTTCTGCTCACTACTTGCACATACCTCCTGTACACTTGATCTGAATTGTTTATGAAACTTTCATATACAGGTACTTAGGTGCATATGAAGTCAAATGCAAACAACTTTAAACAGAGACAAATTAGGTAAATTCAGTTGAAAATGGTTTTCCACAGTAAGAAATTTTTGCATATAAGAATGGTTACAATAATATTTTTCAGAAGCAGGTAAGTCAATGAGCACAAGTATTCTAAATTCTATTTTGACCGACCGGATGGCCTTGTGGTTAGAGTGTCCGCCTCCGGAGCGGGAGGACGTGGGTTCAAAACCCATCCGGGGACATACCAGTCCTTTATAAACGGTACCTGCTGTCTCCCCGCTTGGCACTCAGCACTAAGGGGTTGAAGCAGGGGCCTGGTCAGGCAGTGCAGAAATGATATATTAGCTATGAGCGCCCAATATGGCAGCCGAGCTGTATGCTCCCCAGGGAGGTGAGACCGTCTACAGAGTGCACCAGTGCAAAAATGACCAGGCTTCCTTGACTTGGATATTCATATATAATTGTATAACTTCAACCTTCGGGTTGCGATTCTCCAATAAAGATTATTATTATTATTATTATTATTAAATCTGTTATCAACAATGAACATATATTGTACTTTATTAATCATATAAAAATTGTACAAAAATTCCAGATTTCGAACCGTCTTCATCTGTCCTGTCCACTCCATCTAGAAAAAAGCATAAAGTCATGAAAAATACAATTAATCATACTATGCACAATCCTTAATAAATCCTAAATGTCCAAGTGAAAGGAGACATTAATTTCAATAAACACACTATTGTTCAATGTTCTTAAACCAATAAAATAGTGTTAAGATTGTTTGTATAAAAGAGAAGAGGTAAATAAAAGACTTGGAAATTTAGATAAAACAATTTTGCCAATTTTTAAAAAGTTAAACTGCTAAAACTGCTTTGAAGAATACTTACACATCTGAAGTCTGTTGATATCTTTGAATTGATCGCATGCAGTTGGCCAGAACATGGTAATTCCATAGCCTTAGAAAAAATTGAAAAGTTAAAGGTAAAAATTAACTGGTTGCAAAATTACAAAGCTAAACCAATTAAAGTCAGAAGTTACCCTTTAAAAACCTTACCTGGCACCAGATTCCATGGTTATTGTTGTGATTAAATAGGTGTTAAAATGTTGTTCATAGCTGTTCAGGTAATGGAGGTCTAGAATTGGTAGCACGCACTTGATGTCTTGTTTTATATGGGTATCCATTATTACAGCACCCAGATGCCATACAATTTTGCTACATGCTGTTTTTTGTCACCTTGCTTTTTGGTGAACTATCCATGTGTTACAATTACCTCAGCAATCACAAAGAGCTTACCACTAGAAACCAACCTATCAGAATATGTATTTTATGTGCCTTTGATTAAAACACATTTTTTCACTATCAGCCCTTTTAAAATTTGATTCATGATATTAATATTGTCAATAAATTTGAAAACACTTTATATATTTTAAGTACATGTAGGTTAGAAGAACTTCAACAATAAAACTTGAACTTTAAGAACTTTGTAAACATTTTCATAGTCACTATTAATTTTAATTATTTCTAGGTCACCAATTTATCATCCTTGACTTCCCCCTACTGTTTGAGACAGGAAACACAGTGCCTTATCTCAGTGAGATTGTTGTGGTCTCTTGGTAAGTTGAAGGTTTACACATTACTTTTCTGCAGATGGTCATTTTGTTTAAAGGTATCCTATTTCTTAGACCACAGTGGAAGTAAAGAACAAAAGACTCAGACGTGGTGTAACTTGCGTAACCACACTTCTCGCATGAATGCGTTATAAACCGCTAATGGACCGTGGTCTAAATAAGATAGATCCCACGTCAGCGAGGGTTATGTGACATCCACTCGTGCTACGCACTCGTGAATGCCACATAACCCTCGCTGACTTGGGGACTATCTATTACATAACCTCCACCAGGGCCACACATTTTTCACTTTGAGGCCATTCCCAGACCCTATCAAACTAACTTTGGATCGGACTATCCACGAGGGGATTCTCGCTTAATTGCAATTAACTTGGGCAGCTTAGATGTCTGTCACACCTGCTTAGGCTGATACATATCATTAATTAACTACCGTTACTGCTTAGGTTGATACATATCATTAATTAACTACCGTTACTGCTTAGGCTGATACATATCATGTAATTAACTACCATTAAGCAGTTTTAGTAGGCGTTGGGCTGAAAGCAATTTAGCAAGGGACCCCGTGGAGATGGATCCTGTTAGATCAATCTAAGGATGGGAACCTAGTCTTAGATACATTCACAGATATGCCTCTGTTAATTCATTACGTTCTCTTCTATGACCATATGATGACATCTCAAGGATAATTACAAGAATGATAATTGTTTGCATAAATACTTAAGCACTGCAAGTTCACAAATCCCTGCCAAATCCCTCTGACTGCAATCAAGGCAGTTAGTTGCTCTGACTTTAAAGCTACACAAAAGTGGATTTTAGTGCCAAAATTCATATTTAACAAATTATCCTGGGGTAAATGACATTTTTTCCTGTATTAACCAACTTTTAATCTTCCTTTCCTGAAACTCTGTCACAATATTGAAATAAGACAAAGAGTGCATTCTCAACGAATTAAGCCAGGCTTTACAAAGCCGGTGACCTAAAAATGGCGGACGTACATGAAAGAAAAACCGCCTAATCTTTTAATAGTCTCTCCGCCTCTCACACGCCTCCCCTGCGGGGTACAGTAATTAAATCTTGGCTCCGAACATTAATATTTCCGTGAATATCTCTGGTGATATTATCTCCGTAGATAGTCGATTCATTGCTGCTCTACGGGCCAAATTATTCCTTTTTCGTCTCTGTTTTCAAAGATAATAGAACAGAAGAGCTTTTTTCCTTCGATCGCCTTCAGCCGCCATGCTTTCTTTACCACGAGTTTAACTGATGAGCATGCGCACTTAATATTTCTCAGGTAGCTTCCGCATGGCGAACGGAGACGCGATTTAATTACTGTACCCCGCAGGGACGACGTGTGGGGAGGCGGAGAGACTATTAAAAGATTAGGCGGTTTTTCTTTCATGTACGTCCGCCATTTTTAGGTCACCGGCTTTGTAAAGCCTGGCTTAATTCGTTGAGAATGC